GAAGCATATTGAATAAATTTAGGCTTGGGTTTATGAACTAAAAAAGTGATCTGTTTATTTAGCCAATTTTTTATATCGTTTAATGAAAAATTATAACCAGCTTCTTTACAAGCATTATGCATTTTTTCTACAGTTCGATAGTACCCTTCAGGTCGGTAATATAATTTTTGTAATGCAATTTCTCTATCCAAATCGTGAGCTCTCTGTGGGTCGATGTAAATTACAGGTTTGAAACTTTGTTTCTTCACCCATTAGTTTCTATTAATAAAACTAGATTAATAAAAATAAATAAAAAAATCATGGATGAGTTATATCAAACAAACCAAGAACTTCGGGATGAACTTTCACGATTAGCTCAATCAAACAGGAATATCGAGAAACGAGTATATACTCTAGAAAGAGCTATAGCTATAAGGGAAGAAAGAATTCGATTTCTTGAAGAGGAGTTAGATAATACTATTGAGCTTTCCAGACAAGAAAGGGAGGAAATGACAAAGAAGATAACAAATTTAAAAAGAATAGTACATCAACTAGAAAAGGAAAATATACAGAAAGATAAAGAAATAATTAATAAGGAAAATTTAATAAATGAGTTTGATGAACGAGAAAAAAAATTAAAAAACAGAATTCGGGAAATATCCAAATCAGCAGGTAATACTCCCAAAGCATATACTCAAACAGTAAAGTTGATAGATGAGAATGAGCATTTGAAACATGAGATTGATACTTTGAAATATAATCTTAGAGATCGAGACAATAAATTAGCCCAGAAAAAAACTCGTATTACAGATTTACATTGCCAAAACTTTGCGTTAACATTATTAAGATACCGAGATAGAGTAGAACTTATAAATACTCAAGAAACTTTACAAAATGCTCAGATATGGAATGTAGAAAATGAATATGAATCAGATGAAAATTCTCAGGATAGTTATACATCTGATCCAGATATGGCAACAATAGCTGAGTTAGCCGATACTATTGATGGTTATTTGGATAATCCAGGAACAAATAGAGTGATTTTATCCAATCAAATAAAAAGAGCAACGCGTCAGATACGTCGTAAATATAACAATTCGCAAGATGATATAATACGTGAACAACGGGCTAGATATGATGCTGAAGGAGAACGAGATTTAATGCAGTTAGCTTATCAAAATGAAGTAAAAAAACATCGTCGATGGTACTATTCTTATAAAGATAAGCATAGACATGTTATAAATTTACAACGGGATAAATTTACTTTACATTTATTGTTACAACGATATAAAAGGCAGATAAATTCATGTCGTACTGAAAATGGATTATTAGAATATAACCGTGACCGAATTTTTGATAGATATGAAAAATGGAAGAATAAAACGAAAGATGAACGGCAAATAATTTTAAATCAAAATCAAAATATTTTAAATTTACAGCAACAAAATTTAGCACTACAAAATAATAATCAACAAAATCAAATTATGACAACTAATCAACTACCAACATATTCAGGAGATGAAAATTTGGAAAAATTTCTAGCTCAATTCAGAGCAGAAGTAGAAGCTCGTGGTATTAATGTAGCAGATGGAGCAGGTGCCCCAACAGGAAGAGACGTTGGAAAAGGATTATTACGTGGTTGTATGAGAGGACGACTGTTAGAATGGTATGATGAAAACATTACTACTAAACAAAATTTCGAACTGTGTAATTTGTTAGATAATACAGGGCAAGCTACTATACAGTTAGTTGCAGGACGTACAGCAGTACAAATAGGTAATCAAGCAATAAATCAAGCAAATGGACG